TTATATGTTATGCACATACACACACTGAGCGTGACCAAAAGTTCATCCTGTACACAGCTACTTTGTGCTCCTCTGTTGGCAGAATCAGCCTGCAGAGTTGGAATAACCAGCTTCATACAACTGCTTTAGCATAGCTAGCTATCCTGGTAACATAGCTATGCCACTGCTGCTCCTACACCACCTCCTCCCTGACTTGAGAGGGTTTCCTTCTCCCTCACTGATGACAGCCTGATTGCTTTGGGGAGCTGGTACAGCAAGGGGAAGCAGGTTCCATAAGTATTACCACCTGTTAACAGCAACTTGGTTCCATCATCGGATCTATGATATGTCACTGGTGGCTGAAGTGATTTCTGATATCCCTCACTTACGTTAAGGAAGTATTTTCAAGCTTAACTAATAATCCTGAAGAGTAAAGCACCCTAGAAGCACAACCACAAACACACACAACTAAGACTACATTTTTTTTAGTCCTGACGATATTAGGCAATGGCAATTAGACAGTGCTGTACCTAAGGCCTTTCAGGATTTATGAATTAAACCTTCCACACCTAAGGAGTCTGACTCAGTAGGCACCTTCAACTTGGCAGACAGGACTCCAAACACTACAAAGGAGATGCTGGAGACAAAAGGAAAGCAAGCAGGATTCTTGTCCTTGCTACAGCATGTATTAAAAAAACAGTGTGACACTTGCTGCATGAGTGACTGCAAGACAGGCCTTCCTTCTCTAAACTAATAGGCAAATGGTCATTATCTCCACATCCCAATAATTAACTTGTAGAATATGTAATTAAAGTAGAAAAGCTTCATCAGGAGTGACTGAGAGCATCCAGTGACCAGGTCACTCCTGTAGGAAGGTTCAGTCAGGTCAATTAAGTGAAAGGAGAGAGCAGAAGCTGAGTTGCTCTGGTGTCTCATGAATCCTTCAACTACTGAGCAATTAGACAGATTGAGAGGCTGCAGCATATCCCCTTCACTTTTTCAGAACAGGACTGATTTCAGCTAACACTTGGAAAAAAGGGTAAGAATCCAAAATGAAGAAAGGAATTTTATTCTGCACAAAGCAGAAAAGTCATGTCCATGTGTTCATTCACAGACTGGTAACTTAGGCAGAACCCTTCTCATTATGCCTTTTTTTGTGGCTCCTACCTCCTTTTGTATGTTATACGGATAGTTTAGGAATCACGTTTGGATGTGACGATTTCTACTAGTCATTACAGTACAGAACTCAGCTGCTGTAACCAACCAGTATAGAAAAACGCACTTTGTGGAGCTGCTCAAGAAGCTACTAGTAATGACTGTGCTGAAGGGGACCGTGACTTAAACACACAGCCTGAACACACCCTACACACCATCTCTCCTATCCATCCTTCTTAGACCCACTGCTTCTTAGAAGCGTGCTCCCTGGCTCTCACCTCCTTTCAACACTACTTGGAAGAGGAGGCTGGCCAGAAGATAGCTACAGGATAACATGAACCATAGATTATCATAACCATCAGGTTATCCCTGAATAGTCACTAAGCTGGGCACACTTCCATGTATTTACAAAAACAGTTCGGCTACAGACCAGCCTTGAAGACAACAGTCCCAGCAGTACAGATTTGTTACACAAAAGATGCAGAGTCAAACTCTTTCCACACAAGCATGCAGACGTATTGTTAACATTTATATGTAATGAAAATACAACCTTCAAAACTCTATCCTTACAATAAAAATTTTAAACTTTGTCTTTCTAAGCTGCATGAAAGAGACACATTTTTAAGAATTTGTACAACTGGCATCAGATTTTTTAACACGCTAGAAAGAACTGAGCCAAAGATGATATCACAAAGTCCCTTATGCTTAAGGGAAAATGTTAAATCAATTAGCAGTTGCGTATAAGTTCCTTAAAAAAATAACAAACTTATCATGTTCTTCTGAAATTGGTTTTATTATGTAACAAGAAAACTGCAACATCTTCTCATCTTTTTAATGTTATAAAAGCTTTATTAGCATATGCTCCAGAAATTATAATCAAAGAGTAGTAGTCACTAGCCAGAACTTTGAAGAGTTTATAAACATACATGTACAGACTATGCCTTAGAGGGTTAATGTACTATTTTGAACTCAAATATTGCAATAGGACTTAGCACTGACACAAAACATTCACACCCTCTGTAATAAATTCTTTTAACATACTTCATATTTCTTCCCATGTGAATGAGTGTCCTTGGAAGAATTATCTACTAGATAAAATTTGAAGATGAAATCTAAGTCTAGACTTATTTAAGGGGGTGGAGACTGATCTTATAATCTACGACAGCTGTTGATTAATGAGCTGCTCATGATTGCTGTAGGCCTGTCCAAACTGCAGAAGTAAATGATACTATAGGACGGGGAGGAATGTGCTATCTGGATGCCACACCTTTGTTGAAACTTAGAAATCACTTTGACTTCTGCTACATTTATTCTAGTCTTGAACTACTAGATGTGCATGACCAGCTATATGGTAACATACTCACGTCCCCGTGCCACTTGACTGCTGCTTCTGTGGCAGAATTTCTGTGTTACAGAACTTCCACACTGCAAGTACGGCCACTTGCAGCAGTCATGGTACATGCTGTGTGGGGTTCAATGTTTTTGGTGGCAGTGCTCTTGCACAAATTCAAAACTTCCTGGAGCAGAACAGTACTATCACATCCTGCGGGGGTTTGGTCTCATCTGACCGTCTGAAGAATTATGTTTATATGTACACATATGCATACACACGCATATGCATGCATATGACATTCCAGTACACACACATATATATTATAATGCGTAATGAGTACATTGCGTAAACACTACATTCTGCATAATTAAGGAAACTTTTGTTCAACTCTGCTCTAAGGTTGAAACTGAACATGGTTTAAATCTAGAATAAAAAAGGTATGTTACCAAATCATTTGTGATAACATGGTCATTTCTGATTCCATCTTGCAAAAACCTTTTATGGAAATTTTTTAAACTTTCCTACCTTTGCTTATAAAATGTCAATGTTCTTAAAGTGAAAACGACCCACACAAACTCTTAAAAGTGTTCCCTGAGCCCTGGTGAACAAGCTCCGGATTCAGAGAAAACAAAAGCCAACAGAAAAAAAAGGCACAAACAGAAAAACTAGTCTTTGTAATCCCTCAAAACACACAAGAGGAATTTCATTACCTTTAGCTGAACACATCTCTCCTTTTGGTTTATATGTTTCCAATTATTCTCCCTTTCCTCATTTTTCAAGACAGTTGTCTTTCTGAAAGTGTGGAGAAAAAGAACATCTTAAAATAACCACATCATCATGATCATTATCACACCTTGAGTACACTGACTATCACTTCACTAGACAACGAAGCCCTCGGCTTTTCAGCAGTGTCCTTAGGTGCAAGAACAAGGCTAAAATCGCACCGATGAGAAACGAAAGCACATCTTGTTCAATGCATACCACACAAAATACCAATGGTTTTCAATTATAATTTAAAATAATTTATATTTTTTTAACTGTAAATAAATCCTCTCTCTAATCTCAGTGGACACCTTTTCAGGGATTTGCTTGCACAGAAAAGCAGTGAAACAAAAACTAAGTTGGTGATAAATTCAGATGTTTCAATTACTCTTTTCACCTTGCATCTGAGTTGGTTTTGGTATGTGAAGCAACACTAATACCAAACCCTTACTTTACTCCTTAAGGCTCCCAAAACCAGATTCCAAGTAGGATGATATTCTGCCCTCTCCTGTGTTGGAGAGACCCGTTCTTTTTTGCTATGTTCAACAAATCTGATTATGGTTAAACACAACATAGAGCAATGACTGAGGAAAATATGAAACAGCTGCAAATGATACATCCTGATGTTTACTATTCTGAAAGCAGCAGGTTAAAAGCACTTCTAGAAAAGCATTGATATGAACCTTGGTGTAGCACCATGAGTAACTGCATGTACACTGACAGAGTTTCAACAACAATTTGGCACAAATAGCTCTGCAAATCTCATAGAAATGTTTCATAAAACAACATCCTCCAAGTGCTCTTAACTGTACCATTACACAACCTTAGAATAAAAATCCACCGTATTTCTTCATAGCAGGTGAAGCACTGAATTGACTTAGGCCATGCAGACAATTTTGAAAACTTTATCCAGAAACTCAGTAAAATCAGTAACAATGTGAGTTACTTCAATAATATTGAAAACACAAATGTTTTCATAGATTAAAGGCTAAAATGATATGTGTTATATAAAGTCATAAATTAATTTCTGCATGAAACTGAGAAATTGTAGGCAATTTAGTAAGTTGAACTTGCACTTACACCATTGAGAGGTAGTCAGCTGAAGGTAATGGACCTACCTGTCTTATAACTTTTCAATATCCAACTCAGTGGAGAAGTGCAGAAGAAGTCACTATCCACTTGAGCTCAGCAGGAGCAGGAGAAAGAGCTGTTTATGCCTAGGGACCATGAGATAACCTTTCAGGAAACCAGCAGGGACCAGGGCTCAATCACCCATAAGGTTTTGTAGAGAAAAGCATGGCTTTACCAGGAACTGAAGGAGCTGAGCCTAAGCACTTGAATAAAGATTTGCCAGATCATAACTTTCATAAGGAAAAGTCAGCCTTTATAAGAGCACTTCTATTACAAATCACCCTTTTGTGGAAGCAGAATTCTAATACTGCTATTCATCACAAGCACTGCAGCCATCATAACACGTCACTTAATAACAGAGACAGTAAGTGATTAACACATTTTTGCTAAAATGTTGTTCCCTTAGAACTATTTCAACATCACTAGAAAGTACCTTTAAAAATTGTCCTACTGGTACTCACTTTGTAATAATATTCAAATGGTTGACTTCAAAGTAGGGACTCAAATTGCTACGATATGACAGTATCTTCTCCTGAGAAAAGGAATGGAGACACCACTGTGACAGCAAAATTATTTTCTGAGACCAAAACTACCAGTTAAAGGCACGAATCTACACATTCTTGTGTCACAGTATTTAAAGTTATTAAATTTTTTTAAAAATAGACATTCACAGAAGCTACTTCATCAGCGCTTGTTAAAAAAAGAGGCAGCTCAATAACCAGACTGTGTATCAAAGCTATGAAACAGAAACCCATCAGCATAGACTTAATATATTTTTCTCCTATTAACATAATTATTTCCTACTCAGTAAAAATGAAAATGACGTGTTAGCATTTCAAAAACACAAGAAAATGACCCTCTAGGCTTTCTATGACTATCAAAACAAGCACCGGTACTTTATTTGCAAATTATCGTGTATGAAATGATCAACTCAGCAAGTTTACCAGTCAACAAAGTGTGTGCTCTACCAGTTATAATCAATTTACATGTAATGATATGTCTAAATATGAATTTAAATGAGTTCTTGTCATTTCATGTTGATCAGCTGCTTTATCATCATAGATACGGACAGTGACCACAGTTAATGTTGCAGAAACAGCAGAGCATGCACAAGTTTAGTGAGCCAATGGTAACCAAATACGAAGAAATTTGTTTTCATATAAAAAGACAGCCTCTGACTGCTAAGCCATGTTTATTTTCCAGTCAAGTTAACAAAAATACTGTCTAAGAGGTTATTTCCAGGCATTTGCTGTATACGCCACCTCCACAGCAAATATATAATACAAATCACAACAGTTTTCTCACCTCGTAACCTACTGGATTTCTCTTTCAATGTACGAAAAGAACCCTGAGGCTGCCACAGAATAAAGAACATTTCCATATCATCCCCATTGTATATAAATATACATTATTAGGACCTGCAAAAGGAATATTCTGGAGATTAAGAGAATTCTAGCTTCTTTAACAGTGCATTAGTCGCATCCCTGCACAACAATTTTTAACAAAATCATCAAAAATTTAAAATAACTGGGGCACGTGAAACACAGTTTCCTCACAGCAGACAGTGCTGATCAGATGATATGCTGGAAGGATGCAAGACAAAGCCAGGTTTAACATACAAGAATGCATCATTAAAGGCTGGCCTCGAAAATGTCTTCATTTAATACAATTAAATTAAACAATGGCAATGACTTAATCAAAAGGACGCCATTATGTGCTAAAGTTAATTTCATTTTGCTTAGAATAGTGTAAGTCAGTTAAATAAAGCTTAACATTTTCTGAACAATAATCCTTTTCATTTCCCTTAGCTTTATTAATAATCTACATATTCCGGTAGAATACTCAAATATAATTTTCACTGATATACAGGATTATTTTAATGCATATTCAGTACAATTTCTATTTTTGGGTGTTCAATAGTCACTTTTGTTTTGATAAAATGATACAGCAGATTTACACTTAACATCACATATAGGTTTTGTCTATATAAAGAATTTACAGAGCTTCTTCAATTGCAGAATGGTATGTTTCACACATATGAAATTTTTAAAATGCTGCATGAACCTGTGACCTTGCCAATACACAGATTAACCTTCAGAAATTGTAATGAGCATGAGCTGACACACATTTCATTTCTATCTGGGCTCAGTACAAGTATGGACACATTCAAAATGTTGTAACTTCAGTATGATTTGCTTTTACTTTGGTGGTTGTAATATTCCAGGTGCGGATAAACAGTGCACCTTAATGGTCCTCATAGCAGTACTTTTATCCCCCTGTATTTTAAAGGCATCAGCTTCTTTTATTCTCCCTTGTAGCGAGGAGGTCTCTTCTCCTTAAATGCAAGAAGACCTTCAATTCTATCTTTTGTTGGAATAGTCTGCAACAAGCAGAGTAACAATTCATTATTGACACCAAAAACAATACCAAGAAGACTATTTTCACACAAATCCTACTTTGCAAATGCAAATGCTTCCAACATGCAACATATAATACAACAGAAAAATGAAAACTGTCAAGTCAGACACAGGGAAGTACCAGACACTTCAAAGGCACGATACAAGGCTGAGAAACAATCTGGGAGAAGAATCTTTTCTCCAAACAGATGACTGTGAGAAACTATTTTGGGTTTGATTCTGAGTTTTTACTGTTGGGGTTTGTTTTCTTGTTTTGTTTTGTTTTTTATTTGGGGTGGGGGAAAGTGTAGGTTACTAATCAGATCACCACATGTTTAAAGTAGGCATCTAATGCTGATTCTTCTGTTTCCATGATCAAAAACTTGTCTCAAAGTCCAAGAACATGCAAACTCAAATACAACCACTCCCTTGTTTCGCTGGCAAAGAGGTTTATCTCGATTTTCTGTTGGTTAGCGCATATGCCATTAGTGGCACATGTTAGTGAAGTGCCCTTCATGTCACTTCATGTTAAACTGAAACAAAGCATGGCGGTGTATGACTGGCTAGGTATACAGCTGGTAGTGCTTCACTACCTTCACCCTAACAGTCTTCGCAGAGACATGTTTTTGTCCTAAACTACACGTCCTTCCTTAAATTCCTTACAAAAACAGAGTTAGTAGAAGGAAGGTCTAAATACAATGCCACAATACTTGTAGAAGAAATCACAGAACAATTTCTAGTTCATTTTCTGCATGTTTCATAACAGGTGCCAACAAAGCCTATTTTCTATTTTTTTCATGTAATCATAGTTACATACCTGAGCATAACAAGCCTCTTCAATTGCTAAGCCTGTTACTAAGTCGACCTGAGGAAAAGAATACAATGTTTTTTAAAAGCATATTTTTGTTTATTTGTTGTGTATTATTTCCTGACAGCTAACTTAAATACCATGTTTTTATATGCCACATAATGCAAAGTTCTTCTGTGCTACTTTAACGTAGAAATGCTACACTGCCATGTGGTAAGTGGTTAGTATTTCTGTACAAGTTTCCTTATTTGGTGATACAATTAGTATGTTGCGCACTGTCAAAACAATGTATGTTCTTCACTACAAATCATCTGGACTAAAAACCATTAGATATTTGCACATTTGTAACCATTTCATTAACTGCAGGGGAAAAGATTTAATGTACTGCATGATTATTTAAAAATTGCTCTGAAACACGTTATCTTCAAAATGTCACATAAGAACATGATGCCATGCTACCAAATAAACATAAATTCAACTTAAAAGCTATTTAAAACAAAAGAGTTCAATGGCCATCCTCCATCATCACCTAGTTTTAATAACATTCTTTTCTTTGTGAGCTGGTCTGAACAGCTGAAAAGTATGAATTTTCCCCTTACTACTTCTCTGCCTGTCTTAAGCATCAGCTGCTGCAGAACTTAGCAGCTCTCCACATGGCCGCTGTGGCTATGCACCACACGCAATTTGTCAAGGAGAGATAAGCTATACGATACTTCACTAAAGCAAGCCTTGAAATCTCTGCCACAGAAGGTTTGTAACAACAGCTTGAATGAACATTTGGCTTGATCGGTTTTGATACAGTAGATCTGGTCTTGGGGCCTCAAGAACTGAACTAGACGATCATTCAGAGCCCTTTTAACCCTACTTCCCCTAATTCTACAAACATCATGATTTCAGCCCTTCAGCCCACTACACCTGGTAGCAAGATAATTTAGTTCGCAGCATTCTGAACCTTGGGTGCCACTGAAATAAATCTTGAATTCCAGTATTACTTGCTGTGGACACCTAACAAACATTATCTTTACACAACAGCATCTGAGTTTGGTTCTCAGGCAAAACATACTGGTGGTACGCTTTGCTGAACTCAGTTGTATCACTGGTTGTATTTAAGACTTCAGGAAGAAAAGGACCATTCTTAAATTTGTCTTCCTGGATTCAGATGTTGCATGTGGTATGACCCCCTTTCCCTTGTCCCAGGTTGAGCTGTAAGGTGTCCTGGTGCAGAACTTACGCATGTGCTTAACTTTAAATATGAATAGTCCTGCTGAGCTCAGCAAGATGACTCACAAGCCTAAGGTAAAACACATGTCCAGACATGTTCAGGGCTGGATTTTAACGAGCTTTAGAGCTAGGTCAATAGTGTTCAAGAAGCAGTGGCAATTGGACTCAAATATGAAACCAGATTCCAGATATAATTTTAACACTAACCTCTATTAAACCAATAAAAATAAATAACAGGCCTTTTGACCTTTAACTTTATTAGTTACTAAACACTGCGAGCATTGACAGACCTGACAGAGGATGACTTTGAGGTTTACTGCCACCCAGCATTTGAAATGCAAAGTGTTCATAGCAGTTTATGTTTACTTTCTAGCATTAATAATTAGCAGAGTCCATTACTGCTGGACAGACATCAGGTTACTAAGCCTCGTTACGGAAATCAGCACCAACTCTAGTCTCAGGAGTCTGAGACATAAAAAAATTGCATTTCATCTTTTAAAAAGTTTTGACCAAATAGATTTTGAAATACTATACGCTGAGAAACTAAAAACAGTTCTAGCAAAAAAATCACCTCAGCACACCTGGTGCCAGCTTGACTTCTGCTTACTCATGAGGGAAGTACATATCCTTACCTCCATTCCCTGATTGATGGCCAGTTTTGCAACTCTCATTGCTACTGGTCCCTAAAATGAAAGAAAAAGCTTATTTACATATCATCAAAACCTACCAGATTATGCAGTGAAGAGCCTGTGCATCAATGCTCTTGTACTGGGACCTTCTAGACTTTGGAATTTTATTAAATTTATAGTAAAGAAGTCACTATAGTAGACAGTTGCTTCCAAACTGATAGTTTTAACATTGAGAAAAAGTGAAAGTATACTGTTTTCAAAAGAACCTAATTAAGGCAGTGTGTTAGGTTTATGTTTCAAGGGTGCTGAGCATCCCCACTTTCGTCAAGCTTGCTCAATTCCCTTTTAAACAGGCCTCAGAACAACCACCTTAAGAGACACCATTACAGGCCTTCGCAAGGTCAGTCTTACGTCCTTATTCTCACACAAAGGAGACACATGAAAAGATGTGATAATAAAATAAAATGAACTGATGCAGCTTCAAACCTAAAATACGCTACTGCAAAGCCTGCGCTGGTTGAGTGACGACACTCTTCTGTGAGAGACTGAGGTCCCCAGTGAGCAGAGGGATTTCCACCCTCCTCCTCCAATGGGCCGCAGAACAATGAGACATCTTTGGGAATTGTCTCCGTCCTGTGCCCATCCATCAGCATCAGCTTCTCAATATTCAGACACCGCTTCAGAGAAGTGGCCTGCTGCTTTGGGAAAAGCCAAACGCTTCTGGGCTGGTTCCAATGCAAAGTTGTAACTATAAATCAACCTTCACAAGGGCTGTATGTTAAAACTTTTACTGTATTTTTCATGTCTGTCTTTCTATGAGGGTGTTCAAGACTCAAATAACCAACGTTAAACGCCATATTGAATCTGTAACATTTTCCATTTTCAATTAAAAATTTTAGCTGCTACATCTGTGATCCAATAAAGTGGTTTACTAATTATTTTCTTTTTCTGCCTCCTACGAATTTGCTACCTGGGACCCTTCACTTGAAAAGCAGGTTTATCAAAAGCTCCAAACTCACATTCCTACTCTGAACAAACAGCTCGCAGTCTAGTGCAACAGGGGAACAGCTAGCAATCAGTTAACACAAAGACTCCTGTAAGGCTCATACTTAAAATTCTTACTAAAATTTTCAAGTTTTAAAGCACAGGAAACCAGCAAATCCCATTTCAATTCTTATATGAAAGACAGAGATAGGATGTCACTTAGGATGAATGATAATAAGAGCATGATTCTTTCATCAAGCTTATAAATGAAGAACAGAAAGCAAACTTTCCACTAGTAAATGGGTTTTGCTTCATTAATGAAATTACACTTAGCTTTAGGTTTTCAAAACCGGAGTTACACTGAGATACATCCACTTTCATGTAGACCTTATTGCCTCTCTTCTGAAGTGTTCAACAGCAACAGAATAACCTACTGAGATAACTGCTTTACTTAAAAAAACCCTTACAGTACTTCTTTGCTTAAAACTTCAAAGCCAAAATACACAATACAAATGTAGACCATATCATGATGACACGAGAACTGACAGAGTTTTTTGCATCACTGTGAAGCAATTACCAAATAACACCACTCAATACACAGGAGAGAAAACCCCTGATTGCTCCCCACATAACTAGAACTGCTCTTTCATACATAACTTCATGACAGTTTTTCTTAATACAGATGGTTCTTTTTCAGTTTTAATGTTTGGTAAAAACAAAAAACTAAAATCAAAATAATTTTTTTTACCTGAGGTAAAAATTCTCTTGCCAGAGCTAATGCTCTTCTATATGCAGCATCCCCTGCTTCATTCTGTTCTACCACATGGCTAATCAATCCTATTGATTTTGCTTCCTCACCATCTACAATACGTGCAGAGAAGATTAGTTCTTTTGCCAAAGACACTCCAATTGTGCGAGGTAATCTCTGTGTCCCTCCTAAAGTTTGGAAAAAGAGAAAATGCAAATATTAGTTTCCCATCCATTTATACCACAAATATAAATGCCTTCTTATACAGACATTAAATTATTATAAAAGGTATTCCTAAACACCTTCTTCAGTTTTGAAACTACATCTAAAATGAAATCAATTGCCCTGTATGTACTGTATATACTCTAACAAGACTCTAGTCCATGCTAAACTTTGTATACATTGGAGACAATAAAAATTTGTGTGCAAGCTAAACTAAAACCAGTAGACAAGGTCTTTAAAAAACCATGGTTTTGTCTCTTCTTACTTCCATATTACTGTTGAAAGGGAAGGACAATGGCAGGTGTGGATCAGCAGAGAAAGGCACCTAACTTTAGTTAGCTTTTCTTACTACATTAAAAAATTCTTTGGCAGATAAGCATTTTCAGAAGGTCAATAAGCAGTAACTACATTAACCAGACATGTTAAGATTGCTTAGTTGGACTAATAATTAACTTTCCAGAACTGACAAACAACAGGAATGTGGGAATAATCATTATCAATACTGAAGAAGCAGACTCAAATCACAGAAGCAAGCGTTCGTATGAATTAAAGCAATGGAAATCGCCTTTATACAGGAAAAAGGATTTTGAAAATATACCAGGTTTACCATTTTGACGTGGATCTGAAACAAATATTCCATTTCTATAGACAGTCTGTAAGTAAAAATATCTTTCCAAATAGTTACTTCTGCAAGAACATGCTAATATATTCAAATATAAATATATGCATATATGCAAGAGGAATATTTATAGGAGGTGTTCAAAGTGTGGTGGTAAAACACAGGACAAATGTGTGTTCAACTAATATAAAATTGACTAATTTTCGCTAGATAATGGTAGACTAAGCCAGTATTTTATGGAAGCCATTCAGTTCTCTTACTAATGTCTCCTGAAAATACTCAAAGACTTCTCAGAGAAAAATAAACTGACTGCAAACAGACAAAAAGTTTTTGTGATTCATTGATTCAGCTTTTGACTATTGTTTTTCATGAATCATAAGCTTCAGTACTACTGTATTCTTTTCCACAAAAACAGACCTGCCTTTGAACACATTACATCATACAAAAATGCAGAAGGTTTGGGGGATTTCTGCCTTTTGCCTTTCTAGCATATTGCAAAACCATGATCTGTAACAAAAACTGAGATATATTTCCTGGGCTGAAACTGGAGGAATTAAAAAAATGCTTAAACTTGTAACAGTTAAAATCTGTAGAACAACAACTTGAGTAAATACAAATAATGTGATATTCTCTATGGTCCTACCACTCTAATAAGACTTTAGCAAGAATGTTCTAACGGTCAAGGGCAACAGGCAACAGCAAGAGGAATTCCTGTTCAATAAATTCTGCTAATACTGTTATTTGTACAGCTAAGCCAGTGATCGGGCTAGGTGGAAAATTTTGCTACCAGCATTAATTTGAGTAAGCCCCTACTCTGAGGGAATTTTTATGAAAGGGGCAGGAAGTGTAAAAAAAAAACCCTCGTAAAACACTACAAACCCCGAAGCCTAGGTCGTCCTATTAGCCCTGGCTGCTTCATTGGTGAGATTCACAGAGAATGACTAAAGCTGTAGCTATCAACCCTTATATTAGAACTACATGCCATAAAAATGTGAGCTGTATTTTCGAGAAGCTGCTGCTTCTGTAACTGAGCTGCATCACCATCACCACAGACAAACATTTACTGGCTTTTTTGTTTTAAATACTTTCAATTTCTCACCCAAAGAAGGTATCACACCCTGATCAACATCTATTCTTCCATGCATTTTAAGCGTACATCAGAGCATAGGAAACGCCTACTCTGATTCAACTTACGAATAGTTTAGTCATAAATTATCCCTTTCATGATAGAAATGGAATCTAGAAAAGCATCAGGTTTGGCTTTTGATTAAAGAAAACTATTTGTCAAAATCATAAGACCCGAAACCATATAAGGCTGAATTTACTGACTCCACATACTCTGCTTCTTCCTTGCTGCTATGCCTAGAATTTTTTTCTACCTAATTATCTCCCCTTCCTTTACTGTTTTATCTCTCTGTTACTGCCTTTACCAGGAAATGCTGAAAACAAAATTTAATTGAGCAACAATATTTCATAACTTTGACCAAACAATGGATATGTTTAAGCATGAAATAGTGTTTATAGATGAAAAAAAGTGTTCTTGCCAGTGTCTTACACAATAATGATTAAAGAGCAAAAAAAGCAGACTATAGTCTATGTTGTTTGGCTGCCTCCTACACTGCAAAGCCATTAAGCAGAGGAGCATATTCTTTGATTAATATTCACAGAACAGAAGCCAGCAGTTCAGTGCATCAATCATATATATTCAGTATAAATTCAGTAGTAGGAATAAGATATATGCACACACAAAAGCAGTAAGACCCAATTAATCAAATGCAAACAACACACCAAAATACATCCAACACACCAAAGTTACATCCATTTATGAAGAAAAGACAGAGAGTATGCTGCAGATAGATGTTCTGTTTTGGTAATGCACAAAGAACATATAATGCCTGCCAACTACAATCAGAGCTAAAGGAAGTAACACCCAGTCTTCAAAGACATTACTTAGCGAAGGCATTTCACCTAAACGTAGAGCAGAATTTGATGGAAGAATCGTTGTTTCATCTTCACGAATTTAATGACAAGTTATTTCAAGGACTACTGATCTGGTATTACTCACTGTGTTGATAAAAGTATTTGACACACAATTGCAATGTAAATGCATTCTTATCTGAGATGGTATATATTCAATGTTGTAATAACTGTAAACAGCAGTTTTAGATGACACTAGTTCATGTGAAAAGACACAGTAAATACAAGACTGCTAAGTTGTGGTATAAAAGTTGCTTAACAGTGTTTTTTTTCTTTAACAAATACTTGACTTTGTATGAGTATTTATTTACTGTCAGTAATTCATCAATTACAAAATATGTACACAACTGGTTTAGATTAAGGGAATTACGTGATAAATTCTCAAGAGTAAATCCAACAACATGAAGCAACTAGCTTACTGGAAATAGATTCATCATTCTGGCAGAGAATATCTACAGTCAGTAGTTTCTCATAGCTGAAGGCTCTGTCAAAACATATTCGAAAAAATCCTGTTCTGACAAAAAATCCAAACTTTAATTCAGTAATAATCCTGTTTATTAAGTCAAGTAAAAATAAATCTTTCTACCCTATCCTTTCTATCACGAGCTTTGTTTGATTCACGTTAGATTGATTTAGCTGACAGGTTTCTAGATTTCTTTTTTTAAAGACCACTGTGCATTTCTAATACTTTATTAATAATCAACCGTGAAACAAAAGCCTGTCAGCCACAAACTTTCTAATTATTCATGTCAGTCAAGAAATGGCTCAAATGTATCCTTGCGATTCTTTTGCAGAGAGGTGTAAGGAGTAGATTTTCCTCCTTTCCACCAAAACTCAGAAACACTGAATGCAGAAACCTGCTGCTCATAACAACGCATCCTTAACACTATGAGCCCATAAACAAACTAACATGGGTATTATTCTGATGTAATACTTTTCAGTCACATAAGTAATATTTTAAATGTCTGTGTAACAAATTTATTTTCCACTTTTAAAGTACCTGCCATCCACTAAATTAAGCAATTTTCAATATGTTAAACACTCTAAAAGCCTAAACACTCTACCAAGACAATATTTAACACCACATTTCCAACAGATTATTTCTCAGATTAGGTCTCAATCCTGCAAAATTGTACAAGTTTTAGCTAACTTAAATCCAGTTACAAATCTTTATGGATTCAGACATTCCAAATCCTTTCAAAGAAGCAAACATGAAGAGCCCTTCACTGGCACAAACGACTAACAACTGCAACCAGTTTAGACTGGGAAAGTCATCAACAAAGATGCAAGCAACGGGGTGAGAACAGGATGGAGAAGAAAAGAAACAAAACATTATCTCTGCAAAGGGAAAAAAGCACTGAGCTGACAAAGAGCAGGCGGTAGGCGAGGCCGCTCTCACATCTGGCCATATAAGTCATTGTTTGGGAGAAGACTGGAGACCTGAGCAAAGCCTGAGACAGTGGCCTGAGGCTGACTCAGAGGTTGCCCTGGGGTCTGTGATGACTGAGAAGTTGTTCGAGTGAGATTTCGCAGCAGGCTGCCAAAAGGGCTCATGGAAGTCTGGCTTTCCAGTCAAGCGAAGAAAGCTCTGCAAGAACGTCAGACACAACTCTACCCGATGTCCAAGAGGCAGGATGACCTGCTACCTACGCCAGCCTGGCAGTGGCAAACCCAAGCTCCAAAACTGCCAACTTAAATTGCAAACCAGTCCTAATTTCCACAATCCATTTTATTCATCTGCGTCTGTGGATTGATTTATTTAAAAACCTGTCTGAAAAACGCCTAGAATATACCAAACCGCCATGCGTGGGTGGCTTGAAGGTGGCAGCTTGAATCAGAAGACTGTAGTACTTGGCTTGAAGATGTATGAACGCTTACGATGCATGAGAGAAAGTGTAAATACACTTTCAGAATTCACTAGCAGTTAAATAATCACAGCTTTTGTACAGAAAGATGAAATCGTTGGGTAATTTAGAGAAAATAATTTATTTTCAAAATAAGCAATCCTCTCGTAGATTGATAAAGATAGAAGATTGATTCCCAGCAGACAGCTGCATACATGAAATGAATGGAATTAAGAAACGCATCTGGAACACGATTTTTCTAAAATGGACTCCACTTCAAAAGGGATTCTGCATCTGTTGTAAGGAGCTTACTCCACATTTGCCTCACAAGCATGGTACAACCAACTGCACAGACTCCACCATCAGACTGAACATCGCTTGACAAGCACAGATCTGCTTTACCACCCATGGACTCCCAGGACTCATGGCATCAGCAATGCACACACTGACAATCTGCCTTAATTTTTTTTAAAACTGAAATTATTTGAGGAAGAAAAGAGAAATGCCTAAGGCCGCTAATCTACTT